GGCAGGAGGAGGCGTTTGAGGCACAGAGGTGAGGACTCGGTCATGGTGGTGCCACTTTCAGCAGAGGACCCTGGCCAAGTGTGTAGCCTCCCAAATGCCACCTTCCTCTTCTTTAAAATAGAAAGGACACGACAGGAACCTACTGGAGAGGGTTGTTGTGTTAGGATTACATGAGCTCATTAAATAAACTCACACGTAGCAAGTACTCAATAAAAGAAAGCTGTTAATTATTAATTATTGTCATTATTTGAGAGGCATATCAGAGCCATGCTACTCAGAGCAGGCAGCAGCAGGATGACTGCTTCTCAGGGGTCATGCTGGTCTTACACTGTGGGCTGGAATCTTGGCAGAAGGGAGTCCCCGCCCAAAGGGGAATGAACCCAGAAAACAACCCCAATACCCAACTAGGTATCACAGCCTAAAGGCTGCAAATGCTGGCATCTGTCTTTGCCCGGCCCAGGACAGACCTCTACACAATTTTTTTTCCTGGTTCTTTATCCCAACACTGATGCCAATTTAAGAGACTATCAGCAGACTGATGCCAGCACAGGACAATGTTACTGCAGAGTTGGAAGATGCCCTGGAAACAGCCAGCTCCGCTCTGTCTGGGGGAACAGTAGCACCATTGATTGCTTTTAATCAGCAAACTTCACACCTCAAGGGCAGTGTGCTTGCCTGCCTATAAAAGAATCCTGGAGAGAGGAGAAAGTTCTGGCTGGTTGGGTGATATCCCGGAGATATAAGTAGTTTTCAACAAGGCCCTTCACTTACTAGCCTAAAGATATATCAGCTTAGGAACATTCATGGAGAGAAAGTAGCTTGGGTCTTGGAGTATCAGCTCTCATCACACTGTGAATTCCCAGAGGAATGTGTTTCCTTGAAAGTTTATTGATTAAATATGACATAGCAGAGAGAAGGCTCCAGAGACCACAGTTGAAGCTTCAGATCCTGAGTCTAGCCATGCCATCTGACCCTCCCTCAGTTTTGAATGGACAGACGGCAGTGAGAGCAGTGAGAGGACCTCACTCATAGAAGCACCTAGGGAACTGAAGCAGGGGCAGCAGACATTTGAGAGAACATGACAAAGGGGGCATTGTTTCAGTCCTTCATGTGTATTCTCATACATAATGCTCACTAGAAGAAAGATTGGAAATATCCTCATGTATAGATGGGGAATATTCAACAGAGTGGATGAGAAACTTGTCCAAGGTCACACAGCCAGCAGCTGACAGAGCCAGGCATTTTACACCATGAGCCCACCCCCTTTACTACTATGATGAACTGCCTCTTGCATATGAGATAATATATGGATAATGCTTCTATCACAGGTGAGTAAGAAGAATCCTATATAATAAAGAGCTAATATGCAAATGGTTGTCACACCCTCACAGCCTTGTGCCAGGGCCAGGGGACCTGAGGCTGTGCCCCTTGACCTATAGGGCTTGATGGGGGTGGGGCCAGCCAGGTCTGGGTCTCATGCGATTTCTAGGTGCACGTGAGTGAGGGAAGACTTAACTCTGGGTCCTGCAGCACACCCCAGACTCTGACAGTAGGAAGATTTTTGTATACATTTTAATAATTTTCTTTCATCTCTGATGTTTCTATTATTAAATATTAAAATATTATAGCAATATTAAAATATTTCCTCTAATTAATTCTCTTTTAATGTGCACAAATTTCATACACCGGGCCACTAGTTAGTTAATAAATGTTGATTATCATCATTATATCATTAGTCCCTGGCATTGCATATAGTATCTTCAAGCTCTCCTACCTAGAGATTTTAAGAATTTAAAACAGTTTAGGTTCAGGCAAGTATCCAGTGTATGCTCTGGAATAGGTATGATGGTTTTCATGTTCCCTTTTGGCAAGATGCACAATTTTGCTTTATGAAAATATTTGTTATTTTCTTGAAAGGCCACTTGGAGAAAAAAATAAATCCATCGGCATGCATTAAAACTGGGTTCCATCACTCACTACTGGAGGGCCTCCTACCTCCTAAGGCTCACATGGCTTATTTTAAAAAACAGAGACAGTGAGCATGAACATTTAAATGAGATTATCCAAGGAATCCTCTTAGCACTTAGTAAGTTCTCAATAAAGGCCCACTGTCAATATTGTTATTATCCCCAGCATGGCCCAAGGAATCAGAAGAGGGTTAGTGACAAGCATGGCCAGAACTCGAGCCCATGTCTTCAGACACTTAATGTGATTTTATTTCCATACTACCACTTTGCTTATGAGCTTTATCCTCTCCAGAAAACCATCAGGACTCTGTCGCTTGGCTCCTGATTCAAAATATTTTTGATAAAAGGCAATAAAAAATCTAGAATAGCATGGGTGAACAGAACAGATAAGGGGTGTCTTTAAAAAAAAATCACAGAACCACCTGAGGATTAGAAATAGAAATCAGATGTCTCTTAAATCAAATAGGGCCAGGGCTGATGCCAGGAAGGCTCCACACACATTACAATGAAGAACATATAAGTGCAGAAAGGGACTCATAAAACCACCAGCTTGTAAAATACTGCCAAATGCTGCGTGCTTGCCAAGGAAAAAGCATCGCTAGGCTGGATTCTACTGCTCTGCTCCTCACTGCAAAGAGAATACTGGGTGTTAATTACAGTGTCTAAGTCGATTCTTGAGGAAGGTAGCTGCCCGAGAAAAGGATTCCTGCAGAGAAGTCTCTTCCTCTGATAGATTTATTCTGGAATCGTGGATTTTCTCCATATTTTTCTGGAATTGTATCCCTTGTGACCCATTGCTTTTAGGGCCTGCTGCTTGTGAGCCAGTTATGGCTCTGGTGTTGACATCACTGTCACAACGAATACAGGCATGACTCTGAGATACTGTGGGTTTGATTCTAGACATCCACAATAAGCAAGTATCCTAATAAAGCGAGTCCTAATCTTTTTGCTGGTGGAGAGTTTTGCCTTCCATTTGTAAAAAATGCAACATCTGTAAAGCACACTAAAGCTAAGCACAATAAAATGACGTAGGCCTATACTCTGCGAAGGCCTGCTATCACAGGTGCACCTCCTGGCCTCACAGGCTATAGAGGGCAGCTGTTAGCATTTCATTTGTTTGAGGACAAATGTGAGATGAAGCTCAAAGGGACTTGCCCACAGTGGTAGAGTGGTAGAGCCCATAGAAACACATTGCATCCCCTGATTGCAGATATGGGGCTCTTCTTATCCTATAAATGAATGACACCCAAAATAACACAGCCTGGTGAGAATATGAATGAGTGGCTTGATAAAGCGGGGCTGGAAGGGTGCACTCTGAGCTTTCTGAGACTGAATTGGCATGGCAAGTACCCCAGGCATGGTGAGTACCCTACATGCTAAGATCCAGACCAGGTTTGGTGTCCAGGAGAATATGCTGGGGTGAGTCACAGGCAGCAGAGACAGCCTTATCATACACACCCTGCTATTTATTAGGAAACTAAATCCATTTGATGCCATTTAGCCTTTTCTCCTATGTTTCCCCCCCAAATTAAATCATTTTTCACCCTCCCCCACCTCTGAGTACCTGAAAACCTAGGTAGTTCTTTATAATTTCTAGAACAAGATGTTTGCCTTCCCAAGGGAGATTGAGTGGAGGAGTTGAAGGAGCAGGAGGCAAACAGGTGGTCTGCTCTCTCCTGACCCCTTTTATTATTCTTTCCCTTGCCAACTATAATAGTAACTGAGCCCATTATTCTTGGGAAATCTGCTAAACCCTGGAGCCCCGTAGTGTCCGGTAAGCAGAAAACATGGAAGGTCCCCACTCTAACTTACAATACAGAAGACAGAACTTCAGATTGTCAGCTTTATGAAATTAACCAACACTGGGAGGGAAGGTAATGGGGCTGGTAGTGGTTTTGGGGGGTCCATTTTAGATTATGTGGTCTGGGAAACCCTCTTCAACAGGCAACATTTGAGCTGAAACTTGGTTGAAGACAGGAAAAGCTCCAAGAATGTGTTCCAAGCAGAGGGGAGGAACAGAAACAGCTCATGGCCCTGGCTCAGCATGAACTGAGGGGTTGGAAGTTGGGTGAGGCTGGAGACAGGGGAGGCCTAGCAAACCATTTTGGGGTTGGATTTAATTCTAAGCGGCCACAGTGCACAGATCCAGTATCTAGCTCTCAAACGTTCCCTTTCCCCTCTCACTGCTGGCTCCAGTGTTTGAAAGACCAACTCCATTGCTCAGCTGATAGTCTCCGATTCTTAATGGCACAGACCATGTGGGTTACATACTGCTGACAGTGAGCTCTTAACAGTCTCTAAATCTACAATAAGGGGATACTGAGGCCTGAGAAGTTGAGATCCCAGTCTACATTAGTGCCCCGACATTCAGCAGGAACACTGGCTTAGCCAACCTCCCTAAGCCTCAGCATCATTGCTCGTAATTGTACATAACACCAACACTTGCCTCACGGGCTTGCGACAAGATGTATAGTACTTCACCCTCATGTCTTGAAAATCATAAGCTTTCAATATTATTTTCATGAGTCACCATCATCAAAAACCCAACTGTGTCTTTCTCTCTTCATCACACACGCTAACTTCTTTCAAAATCCTGCATAATGGTTTTGTGAGTTTTTGGAAAGAGACCCTGACATAGTAAAGGTAATGACCAAAGCTCACATAGTATGGGCCCTTCATACAGGTAACTCATTCCAAGCTATAGGCAGCAAAGGCTGAGGCTGCCTGCTCACCAGCGCATGGAAGCAGCCTCGGCTACGTAGAATGATCACCATCACCACCCACAACAACCCTTGCAACCCAGTCAACTGCACGCACAGGGCCTCCCATCATGAGCAAAGAGCTCCCCAAATAAACAGAGGAATGAGGTTCCCGGAAGCATGTGGCTGGTGGTGGACCCAGCTGTAGCCCCAGGACCCAGGGTACCTCAGAGACTCCCTTTGAAGTAGCATCCCTGCCCCAGGCCAGCAAGCAGGAAGGAGAGCTCAGGAGAAGAGAGCATCATCCCATCCCAACATCAAACAGGGTGCTTACCTCCTCCTCCTGGGTGCAGGCTCCGAAGATCTCCAGGAGTAGTCAACAGTCCTTGGGCAGATTTAGTCTGATGGGGCCACTAGGGAAGGAGGCTGGGTTGCCACCACCTCCAGTTATCCCATCACAGGGGAGGGACAGCCAGTGAGAGCTTCCTTCTCATCTCTGACCTGAGAAGGCAGCCTCAACCTCTTTCAGAAGCCCAGCCTTCAATGTCACAGAACTGCACAGGATTCCTCCACCCCATTTCCTCCTCTCTAGGCCTGCTTAGTCCCGCCCTGCCTAAGACTTTGGGCTCCTCCTCCAAGCTCTGCATCTCCACCCTCCTCCTCCTCCTCCTCTTCCTCCTGAGGCTGCCTGACAGGGCTGGCCTAACCAGCTCCGGAGCCTGAGCTAACCCCAGAGAGACTGCTGCACTGTTAGCTAGTAAGTGGTTGGCCTGCCCCGCCCCCCCCCCCCCCCTCCACCCCAATTTATTCTGAGAGTGAGCTCCTGGGTTAATTGGAGCCAGAACTTGGGAATTTGGCCCAGCTGTGGGCACATGGAGTAAACATTCTCTGGCGATTAACTAAAAAGTGTAGGATTTTTAAGGCCAAATGTCAGGAGAGGGGGATTTGGCTGAGCTGCTTCCTGGTCAGACTTGACTATACTGCACTCTTCCTTCAGGGGCCCAGCTTTTCTTATAGCAGATGAGGAGCTACCCGTATGTATTCCCAGTAGGAGGTGAGAGACAGGCTGAAAGGAGAGTCTGCTTCTTCCTCTGGGAGGGGTTGAAAGATCAGTGAGGAAAGCTGGCTCAGGCAGGCATGTCTGTTATTAAAGGGCACTTAGTCATTCCAGGTGATGGCTGTTCCACTTAACCCACAGGTGGCCTTAACATAAGGAGTTAAATGATCATTGAAATAAGACAATGGCGTAGGTCCCAAATAGAAGCATTTGGGACATTATTTCCCTGCCCTAGCAAGTTAGCATTATCTCTCCAGGTCAGAGATTTCCGGATTTTAGGATTCTGGGGTATTAAAAATGCAGATTTCTGTATGGAACTCCCAGATTCCAGAAAGGCTCAGGAATCTGTATTTTAAACATTTCCGAGGTAATTTGATATAGGTGATCTGGCATCTGTGGTTCAAGGACTACAGCCCTAGATGAGGTTTGTCCCCTTTATCCTCAGCCTGATGTTGGTGCCTTTAAAACTCAGCTGAAGACCAGCTCTTCTCCATTGTTTTCTACTGGCTTTTCTAACCTGCTCTCAGCTGACTCCAATATCATTCTCTTTCACTCCCAAATAAAATGGTGCCACTGAACCCTTTCTTATCACATCAGAGAAGACAGGAAGTCCTAGAGTTCCATCTTTAACCCACCAGAGATTCAGACCTCACACTGTTGTAACTTCTACACCTTCTGTTCTAAGTGAATTCTCTCCACGCCAGCCCCTCCCCAGGCTTTCTCTCTGATTTAGTACCACTGTGGCCAGAGAAGAAGCCAGGAGCAAAGGTCCCACAACCAGCTCCTCTCACTGCTCCATGGCTAAGGCAACCTGTGTTCAGGTTCCTTATTTCTTGAGTCCAATTTAGTTTAGAATGAGATTCCCAGCCAGCTCCCCCAAATGGAGTTATCTTACAGTCGACTTGATCTCATGACCGCCCAAGTCAATGACTTAATTATAAGGCAAGAACTATAGGACCCATTTGATTCAAAACACATTTACTGAGCACCTAATATGTGCAGGGACTTGTGATAGGCATAGCAAAGGTGTGAAGAAGACCCAAAGGTGTTGATGATGATGTTGTTATTGGCGTTGTTCTACCAGTGACCTGGGCAGGGGGCACTGAATAGGAATCAAATAATGAAATTGATGTGGGAAAATGTGTGCTTGGTTTGTCCAAAGGGAAATGCTCTCTTGGAGTTGCAGGCCGACACCCTATTAGGAACTCAGATGATCCCAAGTGATATGATAGGGCTGTGGTCGGTAAATTGTGGCTCGCTAGCCACATGCTGCTCTTTGGCCCCTTGAGTATGGCTCTTCCACAAAATACCTCGGCCTGGGTGAGTCTATTTTGAAGAAATTGCATAGGAAGAAGTTTAAGTTTTAAAAAATTGGCTCTAAAGAGAAATCTCAATCGTTTTACTGTTGATATTTGGCTCTGTTGACTAATGAGTTTGCCGACCACTGCGATAGGGAAATTAAACATAAAATTTTTCTTGCCTTGCCAGTGCAGTTTCACAACTTTCCCAGTATTCATAACTTTCATATCACATGAATGGCAGCACAGTCCAGAGGTCATAAATACACAAGTGGGTACCAGACTATTTGGATTCAAGCCCTCGCTCCACTAGTTCCCAGCTGGTGGTTTTGGGCAAAGGGCTGACCCTCCTTCTGGGATGACAATAGCACTCACATCACAGGCTGTTAGGATACTGGCACTAATGTGTATAAAGTGCTTTGAACAGTGATAGTGCTTAAATATTTTTACTCAGGAGATCCTGAACATGGTTACTGTGTATTTATTTGCACTATAAAAGACTCATGTTTTCTCACCTGGAGATTAGTAATGTCTTCAAAATATTTTTTTCTATTTGATTTATGTTTCTCAGCTCTGCATTCAAGGGTCTTTATTAGTTTATCCATGCTTTTCTTTATTTAACTATTTTTTTTAAAACTAGGATTTATGATGTGCCAACTGCTCTTCCAGATGCTGGGGATACAGTAGATGAACAGACAGCAACTATCCCTGCTCTGAAGGAATCTACAGTCCATTGGCATACCAGGGAGTGATTTAAAAAAAAAAATCACACAAAAACTGTGAAGTAATAGTTGTGAAAAGTGTTAAGAAGAAGTAGCACCTGTGCTGAGAAAGTGTGTAAAGAGCAACTTGACCTGGTCAAGGGATTAGAGCAGAGCTGGGATGTGAATGAAGAGATAGAGTTAAACCTGTGGAGTGAAGGTGGCTTGTGAGAATATTCCAGATGAAAAAAATAGCATGTGCCATGTGTATTAGTCAGTTTTGCTGCAGTAACAAATGACCTCTGAATCTCAGTCACTCACACCATGAAGGTTCATTAATCACTTACGTCACAAGTAGGCTGTAGGTTGACCATAGCTCTGCTTGGGCTATGACTCTGCTTCTCATTTGGAGGCTCAAACTGAGTCCCCACGTGAGACATGCCATTCTGGTAGCAGAAAGAAAGATCAAGAGCATTGGTGGAAGCTTGCCATGACTCGGAAAGCTTCTGCTTGGATATAGCCTTGTTGTGTCTGCTTACATTCCTTTTAATGACTGAACTCTTAACAGTCTCCAAATACAAAAGAAGGGCCCTGAGGCCTGAGTAGTAGAGACCAAGGCCAAAGTCCAATGTTAAGGGGACGGGGATCTATGGTTCTCAACACTGGGGTCATGGCAAGGTATATGACAGTGGCAGGAACATAATCCTCTTACCTGGACGGGGTGAGGGAGGAATAGTTGCAAAGATAATACAATTTACTGTATAAAGGCTTTGTGTAAAAGGCAAATGGAAAAAGACCTGGAGGCCTGTATGGTTAGTGCTAAAGACATTGGTGGGAATGTACTGATAGACCTGACCAGAGCTATAGGGGCAGGGAGTACAGGGCAAGACATGTAAGGGAATCTGATCTTTATACTCTGAGCATGGGAAAACATTGACCTTTACCCATATAACCTCTTTCCTTAGTTATTAAAAGAACACTTTTATGTTTTTCTGGTTTATGTTTTTCATTAAAATATAAAAATGACAGATAAGTAAAAAATAAAATTAAATTCACACTTTACCATTCAGAGAGAACCATCTTTGATTGCTATTTTTATTAACATATTTCTAGAATTTTAAATGCTTTTTAATATATATAAAGTATTTTTTAAAACCAAAATTGGATCATATTCTTTTTTAGTTGCTATGAAAATTTTCCAGTTTATTAGTCTCCCCAGTATTATGATATTATGGATACACTATAATTTCACTAATTCAAAATTTTTAGATATTAGAAGCCGGGTGCACGAAATTTTGTGCACGGGGTGACGGAGGGAGAGGTATCCAAGCCTGTATCCTCTCACAATCCAGGACCCCTTGGGTAGAGTCCCTAGGCCTGGCTTATGATTAGGGCCTATTGAGGCTTTCCTTATCCCAACTGCTGGCAACTGGCCCTGCCACTGCTTGCTATCTGCCTCCCCGTTTCGCTCCCCCCCACCCCCACCAGTCACCTCCCTCTGCAGGTGACAGGCATGGGGTGCTATTGCTTGGCTGGCCTGGGCCTCCCTTTGCAGGATGATTGTTGGCCATCTCTTGCTGTTGGCCTGGGCCTCCCTCTGTGGGACAATCATGGGGCGATGGTAGGGCCCCCAACCAGTCACATCGCACTGGCCTGGTGTGGTCATTGAGATAGTTGTTCAGTTGATTTGCATATTATGCTTTTATTATTATAGCTAGAGGTTTTTGTAATTTTTTCATCTTGTAAAAGTTCTGCAATGAAATTTCTTATATTTAGCAGTGTGGATATTATTTCATTGACGTGGTATTTTTATCCTAAAGGGTATGACCAGTGTAAAGGACATTGCCAGTTTTCCCTTAAGAAAAGTTGAAGCATTTCACACATGACCCCAGAGGAGGATTTGCCAACCCTGTTGATAATTATTTTATATGGCCAATTTAATTAGTGGAGATTATTGCTTTATTCTTTCATTTATTTGATAATTAAAGACAGGCCATTTTTTTCCCTATAATTTCAGCTGCTTTCACCAAGAAAAGACTAACATGCACAGATAATAATTTAATATAAAAAAGACTTATATGATTAAAAATTTGGCCTTTTGGATCTTCTGTGGAGAGTGAACTCTTGCTTTCTCCTCAACCAACTGCAATTACTCTGTTCCTTATAATGCATTACATGATTTTCTTCTGCTTCCTACAGGAAGCCTGCTCTGATTGCTCCCTGCCCTGATCGTCACCTTACTGTGGGAGCTGCCAGTGAGGATACGGACAGCTGATTCTACAATATGGTGGGATGATATGGTTCACATGAACCGTGTCTCCCCTAATGGAGAGGGTGCCCCCCTTTCATTGAATTTTGTGACTTCCCACAGTATTTCACTCTGTGCCCTGCATGTGTTATGGTCCACAAATATTTGCGAATGAATGCTAAGAAAAGGCATAATGGTGCAATTGTTGGGTCACTTTTGAAGGATGACCCAATTGTGGAGACTCACACGTGGCTATATTAA